CCAAAGACAAATTTACAAAACAATCTCAAATTTCAAAGTGCTAAAATCTTACAGAAGATACTCTCTAAATTAGAAATCATTAACATAAGGTATTTTTAAAAGGACCAAATATTTAGCAATTAAATTTTAAATATTTTTAATAACCATGGATCAAAGAAAAAATTATCAGGGAAAATAAAAACACTTTTTGAACTAAACAATAATTAAAATACAATGTGTCAAAATCTGTGAGGTGCAGCTAAAGTTGTGCTTATTTAGAACAAAATCTGTATCTTTGAATGTTTATATTAGAAAAAAAAAGGCTCCAAAACAATGATCTAAGTTTCCACCTAACAATATGAACAAAGTAAATCCATAATAAGTAGAAAGAGAAAATAATAAAAATAGAAAATAAAAGATAACAATCATAAAAGATAATTACTAAAGCCAACAGTTGGTTATTATAACAATTAATAAAATTAATAAACCCCTAGCAAGACTGGACTATAATAAAACAGAATAAACACCAATTCCCACATTAGAAATAAAAGAGTAGATATCACTCTAGAGTCTACAGACACCAAAAGATAATTGTTCTAAATATTTGTTTCAGGTGTTCAGCAGAGTGGTTAGACAATTACATAATTTGTAAAGTGACTTCCCTGATAATTCTAGTATTCACTTGGCACCATACATAGTTATTACAGTATTATTGACTATATTCTCTATGCTGTATTTTATATTCCCATGACTATTTTGTAACTTTCTTTCTTCACTCAAAAAAATAATTATGAACAATTTTATACCAATAAATTTAACAATTCAGATAAAATAAAGTCCTTGAAAAATACAAATTACCCAGACTGACAATATCAAATAGAAAACATGAATAGCCCTGGCGGGTTTGACTCAGTGGTAGAGCATCAGCTCTCGGACCAATGAGTCACGGGTTCGATTCTGGTCAAGGGCACGTACCTCGGTTGCGGTTCATCCCTGGCCCTGGTTGGGGTCGTGCAGGAGGCAACCAGTAGATTGTCCCTCTCACAGTGATGTTTCTCTCTCTCTCCCTTTCTCTCCCTCTCCCTCCCGCTCCATCTGAAGATAAACAGAAAAATATCCTCAGGTGAGAATTAAAAAAAGAAAGAAAACATGAATAGAGTTGGATCAGAGAAACTGGATTTATCTAAACCTCTCTACATAGTGGTTGCTTGAAAATAGAGTTTGACTATAAATGGGCCAAGATCTTTTTGGCACGGTGGAAATGTTCTAAAATTGGACTGTGGCCCTGGCCGGTTTGGCTCAGCGGTTGGAGCGTTGGCCTGTGGATCAGAGAGTCCTGGGTTCGGTTCCCACTAGGGGCACATATCAATCAATAAATAAATAAACAAATAAATAAATAAATAAATAAAATTGGATTGTGGTGATGGTTGCACAAATCTGTAAACTTATTAAAAAACATTGAATTGGACGATTAAGTGAACAAATTTTATGGTACGGTATATAGATTATAGCTCAATCAAGGTATTGTAAAAACTCTACAAGAAAACTCCAAGTCCATGTGGTTTCAGTTATGAATTATACCAGACATTTAAGAAAGAAATTATTTCAATTTTATACAAACTCTTAGAAAATATAAGAGGATGGAACACTTCCCAACTCATTCTGTGAGGACAGTATAATTCTGATATCAGAAGCTAACAAAAACTTGACTAAAATAGGTTATAAACTAACATCTCTCATAAACATAGATATAAAAGTCTTCAATAATCTATTAGCAAATTGAATTTTGAGGTATATAAAAAGGATAATACATTTGACCAAGTAGGGTCTATCCCAAAAATACAAGGTTGATTTACTATTGGAAAATTCAATATAATCTACCATATAATAGGATATATACTGTATCACTCCATTTATGCAAACTAAGTTCTAGAACAGGCAAAACTAATATATTATAAAACCTACATCTAGCCCTGGCCTGTTTGGCTCAGTGGTTATAGCATTGGCCTGTGGACCAGAGAGTCCCAGGTTCAGTTCCTGCTGGGGGCACGTACCAAAAAAACAAAACAAAACCTAAATCTAATGTAAAATAAAAATTAGAACAGTAATTGCCTGGTGTGGATGGGAGACTGACTGGCACAGGACAGGAGGGAACTTTCTGAAGACACGGAAATGTTCTATTTTGTGATTGGTTTGTGAGTTTTATATGAGTCTACATGACTACATCTGTTGCATTTCAATATATGTAAATTCTACTCCCCCCAAATTTTGTTTTTTAATTTACTTTAAAATATGTTTTTATTGATTTTTCAGAGAAAGAGGTAGGGAGAGAAAGAAACATCAATGTGAGAGAGAAACATGGCTCGTCTGCCTCCTTCTGGGGACCAAGTCCACAACCCAGGCAATGTGCTCTGACTGGGAAGTGAACTGGGACCTCTCGGTCCATGGGACGACACTCAATCCACTGAACCACAGGGGCCGGGCGCCCACCACCTCAAATTTTTTACAGTAATAAGTATAAGGATGGGGAATGGATAGAAATACATGAAACAAGAATGACAGAATATTGGTAAGTGTTGAAGCTGGGTAATGAGTCCATGGGAGTTCATTATACTATTCTGTTTTTGGTTTTGTTTTAATTTATATAATAAAAAGTAAAAACAAAACAAAACATAGAGGTTTTAATTGAAAACAAGTTAAATGAGTCAAAATGGCCCAGCTGGTGTGGCTCAGTAGTTCAGCATTGATCCATGCACCAAGAGGTTGCCAGTTCAATTTCCAGTTAGGGCACATGCCCAGGTTGTGGGCCAAATCCCCAGTGGGGGGCATGCAGAAGGCAGCCAATCCATGTTCTCTCTCATTGATGTTTCTATCTCTCTCTCCCTCTCCCTTCCTCTCTCTGTGAAATCAATAAATTAAAAAAATGAGTGAAAATGTTTTGTAGTTCCCCACCACCACCAAGAAAAGTTACTGTAATTTCCTGTAGCATTTAACTAGTATGAGTACAATAAATGGTTCTTGCCTAACTTTGTATTCAGGTTAAAGCAAAGAAAATGGTTAAAAGGGATTGCTATTCCATATTCTGTCAAGAACTAGGACAATTTATTAGGAATGAGAATTCTCAAGAAGAAATTAATAGCTTGCTTTTAACATCTGAAGCACTATCACTAATGAGTTTGTTCAGCCCAGAGGTATAAATAGGAATGGAGTGGGTGGAAGTTTCAGAACCAGCTCTCAACTCTTATAAAAGGAAAACTTTAACAATGCAGATCTCCAAAAAATGTAGAGGCTGTCTCTGGAGATAATTTCCCTACTCATGGAGATGTTCAAAAAAGGGAGATTTGTACACTGGCAACAACCACTAGAAGAAAATAGTTATTAAGGCTCCTTCTAGCAGAGATTTTGCAGGTCTTTGAACAATTTCCTCTTTTTTATTTATTTTTTATTTTTTTTGCAGGAGAGAGAGAAGGGGGATGAGAGAGAAACATGGATGTGAGAGAGAAACATCGACGGGCTGCCCCCCCCCCCACACACACACACACAACCTCAACTGGGGCGGGGACAAACTGCAACCAAGGTACATGCCCTTGGCGGGAACCGAACCCAGGTCTCTCTGGTCCACAAGCTGACATTCCAACAGCTGAGCCAAACCAGCCAGGGCATGACTTCCTCTTTTTTAAATCTAAATGGAAAGAATCACAGGGCTTTGTGGGAATTTTTAAAAAATAATTTATCAAAGGGGTGGGGGAATTTGGGATATGCTGTTTAAGGGTACAAATTTACAACCAGTAGATAAATAAATCCTGGAGATCTAATGCATAGTATAGTGATTACAAACAACAATCATGTATTATAAACTTAAAAGTTGCTTAGGGACTAAAAAAATAAAATAATTCAGCCAAAATACAGCGTCATGATAAAAACTGTAAAACCATTACAAACCCTAAACTTAATATTTTGGCACATATAACTGAATAGTATGCATAGAAATTTTTGGAAATCACCACATCAATGAGGGGTTTTAGATTACTGGGCTGAACTGAAAATTTTTAGGTTACTATTTCTTGATAAAGTAATAAGACAAATTGTAAAATCAATCACAACATGCAGCCCTGCTCCAGGTACTGTGTCTTCTTTCCTCAAAGGATAGTGATTGTTGTGGGCCCTCCCTCTGAGTTAAGTACCGTGGAGGAATCAATGCATAAGACATGAACTTGATCCTAAGGAACCTTACCATTTAACTACAAAGGCAAGATATGGCTGACAAATAAGCCAGCATCACATAGCAGTACTTGGTAAAGTGACAGGAGGGAGTACAGGTAAGACGTACTGAGAAACGGAAAGGGCATTCTGCTGGGGTTCGTTTCAGCAGGCTGCCTTGAGGTAAGGGAACTTAAACTGAGACCGAAAGGATTTAGACAGGAAGGAAAATGGAGTGTGAAGGAGGCAGGCACTTCCAGGGCTAGAGGACAGGGTAAAACAAGCAATGTGATAAGGTAACTTGAAAATAAACCTGAATTGTGTCTACACAGAACCCCCACTCTCCCTCTAACGCCTTTGGGTCTCCAATCCCTTCCTTCCCAAACCTTTAGTTTGGTGTTTCCCAAAGTGTGGTCATTGGACAAGCAGCATCACCAACTATCTGGGAACGTGAACTGCAAATCCTGGGGACACACGCTAGACCTAATGAGTCGGAAAGTGGGGGAGGCGGGCAGCAATCTGTGTTTGCACAAGCCCTTCAGGTGATACTGATGCATGCTCAAATGTGAAAACCACGGCTGCTGACTACCTGCCACGCACGACTCTCCGCACAGGACGCGATGAGGTTCCGCGTGCCTAAGTCCGCCACTTCGCTGGGTGCAGGGAGTTGACAGCAGGTCCCAGCCCTCTAAGAGTTCAGTCTTGGGCTCAATTTCGCTTCCTCCACCCGGACACCCTGTTCCAATCACTACTCTCTATGCCATTGCCTCCCGTATTACTTTACCCTCACAGGGCCCGCTCCCGCTCCTCTGTCGCCCTACCTCGGTGTCAGAGGGGACGTGGTGCCGGCAGGGAGGGGAACTGCCCAAGGAGACAGGAATAGATGTAGCGCTTGCCCGGAGCCCACCCAACAGGAGTAAAACGCCTCGGACCCATAAAGAACCGCTCCAGCGCCACCGGCTTGGGCCCGGGCCTTCGCCCGAGGAACCCGCTCCTCCGACCCATTCCGGCGCCATCTTTGAGCTGCGCGTCGTTACCATGGAGTACGTGACGCCTCCGCGCCCAGCGCCAGCCCAGCCCTCGCCGCTCAGGGTAGCTGCAGGGGCCAGCTGGCGAAAAGCTGGTTTTCGATTGGCTAGCGTCATCCCCCCAGAAGTTCACCGCGGAACAAGAGACGTGTCTCATTGCGCCAAGCCAGCCAGTAAGTGCCCTTTACCGGCCCATGTGGTGTTGACTGTAATTGGGTTGGTGGTATATGGGTGTATTTACTGAGGCAGTTTTTCCGTCTTTAAGTCAGTTAGTCAAGGGGAAGATATGCACCCACTAAGGGCCATGTGGCTTAAACAAATATAAACAGCTACAGAATTTTTTTATTTTATGTTTTTTAATTAATTTATTTTTTGGTACTGTCCCTAGCGGGAACCAAATCGGGACTCTGGTCCGCAGGCCAACACTCCAACCGCTAAGCCAAACCGGCCAGGGCAAGCTACGGAATTTTTAATTGGTGTAGTCCTCTGTATAAAAAGTGAATGGCCCCTGCAGTGTGGCTCAGTAGTTGAGCCTGACCCATGAACCAAGAGGTCACCGGTTGGATTCCTGTTCAGGGCACATGCCCAGGTTGTGGACCAAATCCCCAAAGGGGGCATGGCATGCAGGAGGCGGCCAATCGATGTTCTCTCTCATTGATGTTTCTCTCTCTCTCTCTCTCTCTCTCTCTCTCTCTTATCCTTCCTCTCTCTCTAAAATCAATAAAGAAAAACAAAATTTTTTTTTAAGTGAATGGAGCCCTGTCTGGTTTGGCTCAACGGTTAGAGCATCAGCCTGCAGACCAATGAGTTGCTGGTTCCATTCCTGTCAAGGGCACATACCTGGGTCTGGTCCCTGGCCTGAGTCAGGTTGTGCTGGAGGCAACCAATGGATTTATCTCTCTCACATCCATGTTTCTCTCTCTCCTCTCTCTACCTCTCTACCACTCTGACGATAAATAGAAACAAAAACTATCTTCAGGTGAGGATTAAAAAAAAAGTGAACAGAATTTAATTTTCATTAAAAAAGAAAAGGATTAAAATGTATTTTAGACCTGGCCGGTTTGGCTCAGCGGTTAAAGTGTCGGCCTGCAATCCAGAGAGACCTGGGTTCAGTTCCTGCTGGGGGCACATACCTCGGTTGCAGTTTGTCCCTGGCTCTGGTTGGGTCGTGCAGGAGGCAGTCACTCGATGTGTACCTTTCACATCGATGTTTCTCTCTCTCGCTCTCACCCTCTCTTCTTCCCACTCGGTTGCAGTTTGTCCCCGGCCCTGGTTGCAGTTTGTCCCCGGCTCTGGTTGGGTCGTGCAGGAGGCAGTCACTCGATGTGTACCTTTCACATCGATGTTTCTCTCTCTCGCTCTCACCCTCTCTTCTTCCCACTCGGTTGCAGTTTGTCCCCGGCCCTGGTTGCAGTTTGTCCCCGGCCCTGGTTGGGTCTTGCAGGAGGTAGTCACTCGATGTGTACCTTTCACATCGATGTTTCTCTCTCTCGCTCTCACTCTCTCTTCTTCCCACTCGGTTGCAGTTTGTCCCCGGCCCTGGTTGCAGTTTGTCCCCGGCCCTGGTTGGGTCGTGCAGGAGGCAGTCACTCGATGTGTACCTTTCACATCGATGTTTCACTCTCTTGCTCTCGCTCTCTCTTCTTCCCCACTCTATCTGAATAAAAAATGGAAAAATGTCCTCGGGTAAGGATAAAAAAAAAATGTATTTTAGCCCTGGCCGGTTTGGCTCAGCAGTTAGAGGGTCGGCTGGTGGACCAGAGAGTCCCAGGTTTGGTTCCTGCTAAGGGCATGTACCTCGGTTGTCCCCAGCCCCGGATGGGGTCGTGTGGGCGGCAACCACTCGATGTGTGTCTCTCTCTCTTCCTCCCTCTCTCCTCCTGTTCTATCTGAAGATAAATGCAAAAATGTCCTCGGGTGAGGATAAAAAAAAGAAAAAAATGTATTTTAATAAGGTGATGCTGCATTACTGCGCTGTTTCTCAGAAAACCTTCAAAGGTATCAGGGACAAATCAAACTTGGGACACCAATTTTTAAAAATGTACAGCATAACTACCTAAGATAGGCAAGGCTAAGAGCTACTGTCTGACATTTAGCATACAACAACTCTTCCCAAGATTGGACTAGGCCTATCAAGAAAAGGTGTGAACAGCAACATCAAACACAACAGGGCCATTCCTGGGTAATCCTAACCCAAGAAAAAGGTACCAGCAGGCACAGGAGCAGGGGACATGGCATCTTGGTTGTTTATGCCCACATTACCTCCCACAGCCATCTGGCCCATCCATATCTCCTGCTCTCTTGCATCAGGGAAGGTTCCCTTAAATCCTTTCTGCCATCGCAGCATCTCTTCCTCACAGCACCTGCACTCTTCCTCCTGCAGGAGCTCCAGTTGCTTTCGTTTTTGCACTTCTTGGTTGTGCAGCTCTTCCGTCCTCCGCAGTTGTTCTCAACGCCTCATCAGATCCTGCCATTAGCATGACCTGGTGCTCATGGCAGGCAGCTGCCATCTCCATCTCCAGTTTCTCAGGAGCCTCCTTGATGTTGCAGTCCACTTGGTCCTGTTGCTGTTTCTCCATCTCATTGAGTGCCTTCCAGCTCATGGCATACTCATACTCAAAGGAGCCAGGCTGTGCAAATCCTGCTCCTTGAGAAACTGCTGGTTCTTTATAATCAGCTTCTCTGGAAGTCCCTATTCATCATCTACCTGGTCCATGGGCTCCACAGTCACAGGGCGAGGAAATGTGGTTAGCAGGAAGGAACCTTCACTGCATCTGTCCAGAGCTTTCCGGGCAGCTGGCTTTCCTGAGAATTCATAAATGCCTTTTCCTGAGGTCCTTCCTCGATCATCCACAGTGATGATCGAGGAAGGCCATCTCCACCTGGCCAAACACAGAAAAGGCTTCCTCCAGCAGTTCGCTGGACACATACTAAGGAATGTTTCTGGCGCGAGAGATGCACTATGGCAGGCAAAGCGCTCACGCAGCTGCTTTCCAGGGAGTGCCAGGTTGTCAAGTTCCACTTTAGCAATCTCCGCTAGGGTTCATGTTTCCAAGCGGATAAAGCCAAAGCCCTTACCCTTATGAATGAAGATTTCGCCTGCTTTTCCATATTTCTTAAATAATTTCCTCATTTCCTCCTCAGTGATGTCAGGAGCAAGACTGTCCACTAAGAGCCGGCTACTTTGGGTGAAGGTTTTCTCTCCTGGTTTCCTAAAATGCTTCACGTCAATAGTCAAGCCTTCATTCTGGCTGCTAGCACGTTACCCGTTTGCAGGTACTCACGGCGGCGGCGTCTGCTGCTGTTGCTGCTGGTGGTGCTTCCTTGGAGCATGGTTTTGCTTCTTCAAGTTAAAGGTTTTATTGCTCTGCATTTTTTATACCTCTCTACCTAATGTTCTCTCCTCAAAGTAACGGTGAGGCTAAGCAGCCTCTACAGTCCCAAGAAAAGAGCGCGCGACCGCCAGAAATGAGACATCGAAGCTGGATGCCTCGCCAGGTACAACATGGCACTCTTGATTGGTTATCTGAAGTGCCAATCAAGGTTCATCGTCAAAGGCGGGATCCGTTTTCTGCCGTCCCTACGATCCCATTGGCTGCTGAATGAGAAAGACGGGTTCCTGTGAATGACAGTTGGGAACAAAGAGCAAGACTTTCTCATGATTTTCGTTTTTACTGTTTATTATGAGTCATCAATTGTAGGCCCATTTCTTCTTTCTTTTTTGTTAATCCTCACCCAAAGATATTTTTTTCATTGATTTCTAGAGAGAAGAGGAGGGGAAGTAGGGTGGTAGGGTGGGGAGAGAGAAACATCCATGTGATTACTGGTTACATCATGCAACCCAGGTAAGCTCCCCTGACCAGGAATCAAACCCGCTGACCCTTTGATGCTCAGGCGGAGGTTCCAGCCACCAGCCAAGGGCAGCCATTTCTTCTTCATGTCATTTCCTTGTAGTCAGCGATGTGTCTATCCTTTACTAATCAACCCCATCCTTTAACTTACTTAAAACCCAAGAATTGCAACTGTATTAACTCAGTAAGAGATTGGGTGGATCCTTGCCATTAAGGAAACTACCTTCGTTTTGTGCAGTGAGGAAATACAAAATATTTTGAAAATCGGGACAAATCTGTGGCCCATGAAACAAAGAGTTAAAACTAGGAATTGGAAGCACTCAGCTGGAACATTCAACAGGAAGTGGATACTGTAAATTACTATACTAGGAACTGTAGGGACAGGAAAAATATAAATCCCAAAGAATGTATTTCATTGGTGATGATAATGTACACAAATAATACAAGGATGGGGCATTTTACAAGTAAAGACTCAATGTGTCAACCCTGGTGGAGTAGCCCAGTTGGTTAGAGCATTGTCTGGATACACCAAAGTTGTACGTTCAACCCCTAGTCAGGGCACATACAAGAATCAACCAATGAATGTGTAAATAAGTGGAACAGCAAATCAGTCTCTCTTGTTCTCTCAAATCATTTCTAAATATTAAAATAATGTCTATTATCCCACAACTAGTGGAAGTTGGATTCCTAAACCAAATTTATCATTTTCACATGTGCTCCTTCAACTACAAAGAAATTGTGGATTGTCAACAAAGAACACCAGTCATCTTCAAATTCCTAGTTGTAACAGTAGTATCATGGTGGGGAGAGACTTTTTCAGTGGTCTAGTGGAAAAGCTGCTAACCATTCAAGCTCATTTCTGTGAAACATGGGTCATCCAATGGTGACTTTGGCTTGAGGACTACTTTTGCACAGACCAAACCTCATCATGGGAACAGAAAACTGCAAACACCCTCATTTACAAGTACTGCATTACATCAGTTGAAAAGAGGATGGCAGTGGCCAGTGATTAGAGCGTCAGCTCTTGAACCAAAGGGTTGCAGGTTTGATTCTGTCAAGGGCATGTACCTGGGCTGCAGGTCCAATTCTCTGCCCTGGTTGAGTGCGTTTGGGAGGCAACCAATCGATGTCTCTCTCACATAGATGTTTTTTTCTCCTCTCTCTAAAAACCAATGG